CGTCTAGCCCATACAGCCATGCATAATAATGACTATGTAGTGTACCATCACTGTCAGTAGTCTTCATATATATTTGTGCTCTACCGAGTTCCCGCTCAGCGGGTCGCATTCGAGTGGCCGCCGGTAGAACGCGTGTCAGTTGTGATTACGATGGTCACAACATATTCACTCACTAGACGTGTTTTTATCGTAGAGATTGAGCAGACTTAGAACTGACTATATGTGTTTTGCCAACCAAATAATATTTGCAGTAATCGTACGATACTATGTCCTCTGTGTGTTCTGTACAACTTGTTTTTTCAATTACTAATATTTACATATTCATACCGTCGATAGTATTATTGTAGAACTACGAATATTTGGTTTGGTTTGCAACTTTTAACCGACTTTTTTAACTCGTTAGATGGCCAGATAAGAGTTATCACGTGGTACTCTTTATTACAATACTTAATGCCGGACGATACCGTTCTAACGCGCCGGGTACACCGTTTGCGCCAGAGGTTCGAACCCGGTCAGTCGCCGCCACTCAGTAGATAACAAATATATGGACAGTATATATAGCATACCAGCTCGTCAGCTGTTGTGCAAGAGGTGACCGGAAAAATTCTACCGACTGGCCAGGGAGGTAGTTACTCAGGGTTCCCTGTCTCTGTGCTTGGTTCCAAGGGAGGGTTGGACTCTGGTGCAATAAAGTTAGTAATTCGTAATTCGATGGAACAATCAAACACGTCCAACAGTAACTTTATCCAGAGTCAACCCTCCTCGGAACCAAGGTCATTAAGCAAAGGAACCCTGACGTAAACTACTCCCTCGGCAGTTCCGGTAGAATTTTTCCGTCACTTTGCAAACAGTGACAGTGGTATCTATAATATCGTCATATCTTTCGTTATCTACTGAGTGGGCGCGACGACCGGGTTAGACCTCTGCGCTGCCACGGTGTAGCCGCAGGTAGAACCGGTATCCGCTCCGAGCGATTTATAGTATTGTAATACAGATTACCACGTGGATAACTTTATTGCGCATCGTAACCGAGTTAAAAGTCCGGGAGCCTATCTGCAGTGCGCATGTGCGAGATGGTCCGCCATATTTGACAACAACATACGGCAACCCAAGTAGGACCCTTGACACAGTGGCTTTTGGCAAAGCACAAAAAGAAAACTCTCTCGAGAGATGAGTTATTGTTATTACAACGTGACTTCACTAGTATTTAACAACTCTTTTTATTGGGTTCTTTTATTTGGGGTTAAGTAAATTGTCGGAATAAGTGAGAAATGGATTTAACTTCTGTTAGACAACTATCATACTGAATACATATTTACTGTGAATGTATGCAAAAATGTATGGCTATGTACTGTATGTATGTATGGCCGTACGGAGTTGTCCAATATGGCGGACCATCTCGCACATGCGCACTGCAGATAGGGCAAGGCTGCAGATCGGGTAGTGACACTCACTCATGTTTTGATCAGCCACAGGGCACACGGGCAGCCGGTGAGTGTTTGGATTAAATATATGTTTATGGTGACAGACTTTTGTTGTGTATGCTTTACGTAATTTGTGTATTATGTGTTTTCTCTTAGCTTGATAACCTAACTTTGTATGGAGGAAGTTAACTTTGAATCTAACTTTGAATGGATTTGTGTGAAGAAAAGATAACTTTCTGATACCATGTGCTTCTTTGAATGGAGAAGAGCACATTAAATAAACATCAATCCTACACTAAAGCTGAGTGGCCTCGCCCCGTGTTGTTTTAGTTTTTTTTTTTCGTGCGTGTAAAACTAAAGAAAATAAAAATGAAACAAAAGGTGATACAGTACAATACAAATGAATGCAATAACAGAACGAAACATTTAATTAATAATTGAATAATCTGTAGTATCATTGTCTGATATCAATAGACAACCCTTTCGGTGGGGGTAAAACTGAACAGGCACTAACGTGTTACTTTTCTGGTTTCATGCTTTTCTTTGGAACCTGGTTATAGTGATTTCAATGCATTCAGCTTCAAGAGCATTTGTGAGGTCTAACACTGATGTTGGGTGATAGGGTTCGGCTCCCAGTTGGCGTTCCGATTTGTGCCAAAGGTGTTTAATGGGGTTGATGTCAGGGCTCACAACAAAGTGTGAAGACTATTTACTATTTATATGGAACTGGATTCTTGCACTAGGGCTTTGTTCTGTTGACACAAGAGAGGGACAAACACTAGCTGTTACAATCAGATGGAGCCCACTTTTGTCTGGAATATTTGTTGATGCCTTAGCGATAGAGCTAATGCCAAGCCTCAACCATGAAAAACAATGTGCCCAAAGCTACATAGTGCCTAAATACTTTAAGCCTTATAGTTAATATCATTATGATGGTGGGTTGCAGTGATAGCAGGAACATACTGCCCAAAGTGATTTAAGATCTGTCTGATGTTGAATTTCTAAACAGGGGAGATGGAGCTTAACAGAGGGCTGAGGAAAGACCTCTGTGGTCAAATCAATAATCAGTGAAGCCTCAGAGGGGAGAAATGGATGAGACAAGTTAGAGCAGGGAGAGGATCCAGTTGATCTTTCAAGATGAAAGGTGCTGAAATATTTCTGGCTGGAAGAAGAGTCAACACAATCTGAAGGTATCAAGGGAATGGTGCAGTATAGATGGAGGGAATAATGAGAGTTGGAAGTATCTACAGAGTTGTCAACTTTTTTGCCATGAAAGAGAATGTATAAAAAAAAAGATAGTGGTAAATGAAGGTACAGTATGGGAGAATCTTTAAAGCAAATGGCAGGCTTTATTTTGCTAACTGGTCATAAAAAACGTTGAAAACAAAACAAAAATTCTCCATCACAGTCAGTGGGTTAGCCTACAGTTTTCTTTATTTTGATGCTAAATACCAAAATGATAAGGATACTAATAAAAAACAGTCTTAACCATAACCCTAATCCTTACCCTGACCCTACAATGAATTGGAGTATCCTAAGGAAAGATATCCAACATGGATTTCCTAAAACTTTGATAATTTAAAAGTGGTGAAGTGATCTCTAAAGTTATTTAGTATAATAACAAACAACACTTTCTGTTTCTGGGATTTTACCTTTATGTGCAATTATATGGTTTAGACAATTTAAGCTCATGTTTAAATGTAGTTACAATTTGACCTTTCAGCTGTGTTTTACGGGTGTCACATGGTTGTCATCTGATTAAAAGTTGCAATGTATGGAGATCTTTGATATCAGATGTGAATGGCTCCTTAAGTTGTGTTCCTTTAGCTTTGCCATCCTTACATGTTTGAAAAAAATATGAAAGTGTTTTAAGTGATTTGAGTCAATTGTCTAGTAAAACCTGCACCATATGTAGCATGAACCCATTATACTCATGTGATAAAAATGTAAAGTTAGGAGATTATAATAACTATTTAGAAAAGGTTCACATTTCTACATTACATTAATAGACTTACAAAATAATTACTTCTGAAATAAAATTAATTTATATAGTGGTAAAATATGGTCAAATGTCATTCATTTTTATTTATGAATTATTTAACGAACCATAAGAAATTCTGCTTATGATCTCACTTACGTTTTTTGAGCTTTTTCTTCACTGTTTTTACCTCAACTGATCTGAGAAGTTTTGTAGAATAGGTAAAAACAGTGTGTTTAGGATTGAAGAAACAGAGGTATTTTAGCAAAGAAAAAGCTAGAACTGACAAACGGTGATGAACAGATACCTACTTGTCAGTCCAAATCTATATAATTCCGCTTGTGTCAATTCATTAGAAAG